TGATGATTGCTTCTAGGAACTCGCTTGCAATTTTGAAGCTATTAGCCTATCGTTAGAGCATTACTTTTCCTTTTGCTTAAATGAGCTGCTAGCTTGAGCAAAGAAAATTATTATATATAGTATTATAAATAATAAATGAAGAGAAAAAAGTTATAACAAACCATTGAAGTATACTTTTGAATTTATATATATATATATATATATATATATATATATATATATATATATTGAAGTCCAAACATTATGATTTTTAAAAAATTATGCATTGATACATTATTTTTAACTTAATCTTATAACCATTATTAGATTTTGAACGAGTGCCTTTCAACATACAACTTATATCTAATACATACTCCGTATATATTTTCCTAATCTAACACATTTATTATTTATTATTGTGTATATATGTATATAATTTTATTTTTTTATAAACGTTGACCGGGTTGGGGTCGTTGACCGGGCTGACCCTTCTGTGCCCGAGTTGACCCTTGACCCGGTCTATTGCCCGGGTCGTCTTCCAATCCGGTTTTGACAACATAGCCCACAATGACACCGGTTATTCATAGTGAGCTAATAAAGTGATATAATAATTAATAATACTCCCCCATATCACTTTAGTTGTCACACTTTTTCTTTTTTGGGTGTATCAAATTAATTGTTTCATTCCCTTTTTAGAAAGAAATTCACTCAAAAAGCAGTTATAGAATCAATGGAGTAGCGAAAACCTCTTATTCTCTATAAAGTCTATCATCATTATCATAAACTCTGTGAAAAGCAAATGAAACAACTAAAATGAAGATCTTTTATATTATAATCATATAATGATATAAATACTACTTTTTCAAATACTCCCTATGATTTATTCCATTAATAATAATACTATGGAGTATACTCTAAAGTTTGAACTTTGAATTCCTTAGAAATGCTTATAATTAGCAAAAGCGTGAAATACCAACCGAATGTACAAGGCGCTTAGTATGCACGTGTGCAGGGGCCACCGTATTGGTTTGCATTGGAGTACTAAACTGGCATTGACGTAAAACATATGGGTTGGTTCTATTAGAAAATTTGCATGAAATGGGCTAAATTGACCATTTTAACGCAAACTTTCAAGTAGGAATATCTAGCAATTTTGATTGGTGCAAGTGGAGCCGATTCACATACTCCATCTTTTTCACGTACTTGAAACTTTATAATAAAATAAAAATTATATAAATGAAATTTATTGATTCAGTTTCTGCAAAATAAAGGGAAATAATAGTACGAGAACTAATCGATTAAAAGATTTTAAAAGAAAAGGCTGTAAAATATACTCCGTATAAAACAATTAAAAAGGAAAAATGGCATTGTACATCGTTGATCAGCATCCGCGAATCGCAATTCGACATTTGTCTCTACTCGAAGGATTGTATGTCGATCAAATGCAATATCATTTGTATTTTTTGTGCTCGTTAGACCATTTGGAGTGGTGCAAGAGTCTAAATGTTAAAAATGGACTCCGTCGATATGAAAACAGTGTTTTGACTCCTATTTCTCTGCATTCCAGCACCATCAATAAAATACACTCTGCACATTTTTTTACATATCAATTTAGTAAAACATTAATTAAATTATTATAAGTAATGTTTTCCTTTTAATTTTTTCTCTGATTAATTATAAAATAAAAAAGACACATTTCGATGTAAAAATAAATAAATTTCATTAATATTTTTTTTACGTTTTTCGCTGAAGTAATTTTAAACACATTGAGGTGTTTATATAGGATTGTCAGATAAAATAAATTATTTTAACCGTTGGATTTCAATTTCAGCCATTGGGTCATTTTTTTCACATTCTATCAGTGTCCAAATCATCACAACCGTTGGACCTACTAATTAAAAACAACCATTCTTGATATACACGTTTTTATACCCATCAGTACACGCATGTGTCTGTGAGAGTTTTTTTGTTTGTGAAGCGTGGTCCACAGACATAAGTTGGCTTGTTTTGTCTGTGGAAAATTTCACAGACAAAACAAACCAAGTTTTGTCTGTGGACCGCGCTTCACAGACAAAAAAAAACTCTTACAGACACATGCGTGTACAGATGGGTACAAAAACGTGTACGAAAGAAATTTTTCAATTAAAAAAAAACGTTGTGGGTGCTGTGTGACACCAGCACAACGTCATCATGACATCAGCTGGGCAAATAATTCCCTTGCACACTTGGCCAGCTGGCCTCTTCCCCCTGCACACCTACCTACCATACGCCCACTTTTCCCGTTTTTTATTTCTTTTTCATTATTTTGTTGGCTGTCCAAATTCCTCCAAATATAGCCACTTCCTTCCCCAAACCCATTTTTAATACCCTCTTCAATCAACCAATGCATGAAATTAGGAGTCTAAAAATGCCATTTTTAACATTTTGGACTCCTAATACCTTACCACTCCAAATGGTCTTAGGGCCTAGGGGTTACTTTTTTGTTAGATTTTTTAATTCGATTTTAATTTTTTATCTCGCTTGCATAGTTTGAAATATGTAAATTTATTAAAATATGAGCGAGTTTTGTGATATGTAAATATCTAACAACATCGATGTACTTGCTACTAAAATAATATTATAATTGGACATAAAACTAGAGTTATTAAAATGAAAATAAAAAATAGAATCAAAGCTCCTACTTTTTCCAGCCACCAGCAAAGGAGGAGGGGTTTGATCAGTCACCTCCAAAGACGCCATTATGATTTTACCAGCAATCGGTGTGTTGGTATTGACCCGGTTTCCATAAGCCCAAGATTAAGGTTGCACCCGGCCCCTCTTTATTCCCCTCATCCGCACCGCCTCTTTGTGCGTACGATTCCTTCCCTTCCTTGCGGCGATAATTTTTCCTTCTCCAGTCTTCGTGCAATTTGAATATCGATCTATTGAAGGTAAGTTACCTTCTGTGGATTATTGTTACGCCTATTTATATTGTTCTCTTCTCTGCTAACGAGTTGGACTGGCCGAAACCCTCTTCTTCCTTCCTAAATCGCACCTTAATCAAGTCCGTCAGAGACAGACTGAATTGGCCGGAAAACCTTGTTGGTTGTTGCCCACAACCTCCCTTTAGTGATTCTAGTGTTGATCCAGTAGCACCGCCACAAAGCCGTTTTTTGGTTGGGTACCTCCATTCTGACCTCCAGCACTTGGACCGTGGTTAGATTCCCTAACCTGGGTAGTTCCGGCTCACACAGCCCATTCGAGCAGTCACCAAACTCACCACACCACCAAAACTAACAGGGACAGAAAACACCCTACAATCGATTGGAACAAGAAAGCCGGATATATAGGGGGAAAGGTTGAAAATAAACACACCTAAAACCTCGTATATTACTCAGAAGGCAGCCATCGAACGCCTTCGAAACAGTCGAAACAAGGCGAGATGAGGTTGAAGATGCTGCCGCAGACCTTCCACCGGAACAAAGCCTCTGCGATGTTGAGAAAGCGGGGGAAGGGAAGGCTAGGTTGATCTGCCGCACTGGTTTAGCTAGGGTTTCCGACTTCACATCTTTCTAGTTTTGTCTTATATATGGTGCACGTGATAGATTAAAAGTTGAGTTTTGCTAGGGGTACACAAAATGTGTACACATGTCTGTCCTTCACAGAAATTTTGTCTGTCGCAGACAACTCATTTTTGTGTTGTCTGTGACAGACAAAATTTTTGTGAAGGACAGACATGTGTACACATTTTGTGTACATAAAGCATTTTTATGCATTTTGTGTACCTCAAGTAAAAGTTAGATACCTTTACTTTTTATGCATTCATGTTACATTTTCACCATTTCAGAAGGTTAAAATGATCAAATAATATATATCTCCCTGATTTTTCTGAAAACTCATCGCAATTGTTCAAATATATCTTAGTTTTGGATATATGAAATATAATAGTTTTGTCATATATAGTTAATGAGATTTGATCAATTCAATCATAATTCAAATAATTTGAGCACTTTTAAACTTACCAAACGTGCTCTTAACATTAATTAATTTGTATAAATGAATGATACTCGGACAATAGTCAGATTAAATAGCAAACCATATCATTGTAAATTACTCAATCATTCAGACTTTAGCTCATATTTCTGATAATAATCTTCACTTCTAGCTATGCCTAAAGCTGTGTGAATTTTTAAATTGTTTTACAATAATGTGATCAAATACATGAGTTTCTTATGTAATCCCATGTAGACTTCCAACGTGAATTTAATATCAGTTACATTACACTTAGAGCATCTCCAATGCTACAATGTGCACGGTGCACATGTTGCATGAGATATAGCCACACAAATATTATCAAATAAACTATCTCTCTCCTTATTTGAATGATTTCATACAATTTTGGTAAGTTTTTCCCTGCAATGTCAACATCTAGACGGTCTCCTTGACATTCTGGAGAAAAACTTACCAAAATTGTATAAAATCATTCAAATAAGGAGATAAAGAAATTATTTACTAATATTTATGTGGCTATCACTCATACCACATGTGCACCGTGCACATTGTAGCATTGGAGATGCTCTTAAAAATTTACAGTTTTAGACAAAATAATTTCTAAATTATCATTTATCAAAAAGCGTACAATACCTCATTCCTCATTTAATCTATCCCAAAAACTTTGTCTATTTCATTTAAAATATGGAGTTATAATACTTCATATGTGATTAAACATATTTATCTCTTCTTTACATAAATATCAGTCACCCAATTCTTACTTTCTAGATTGCCAGATTGGTCCAGTTTTATGAAATGGAGGGAGTATGTCACACTATTTCTTTTCACTTGATTTTCAATCTGCTAAATACATAACTTTTTTTTTCTCTAAATATCACCCTCACTTACATCCTCCCACCTCCTAAATTCTCGAACAAAATAGTAAAATTAGGTGGTGCAGTCCATATATTGCCTCGGTCTTAAATTTAATACCACTTTGACTATGCATCCATGAAGGCTATGATGAGTAAAGAACTTGTAGCTAGACAGATGGATACTTAAATCTAAATGTGATATGAAAAATACCACATACTCCATACTTTATTATTCTCAATTGGTCCTTTTAAAATAGAACCGACATCTTAGTACAGTGACAAATTGTATATAAAAGTCCTGAAGAGAGAATGTAGTACTTATCCCTTCGTTTTTCGCTTAGTCCACTAATACCTATAAAAGCATGAGTACAAGTGTAGAACCAATCAACACAAGTCTCACGCCTCCAGTGACTTGAAACAGCAGTTCAACAATGAGTTGAAATGTTATTAATACATGAATATTACAACAACAAAGAAGAAATGCTTCCCCAAGTTGAGCCCCAAAAAAACAAGAACCAAAAGAACAAAAAGAGAACAAGTGAGCGCCCATGGACATGGGCGAGAAGGTAAAAGAAAGAAAGATTGAACGAATTGAAGAACAGTCAAGGATACTGTCCACTGCAGTATCCATTTGTTAACCACAAATATTTGCAGCGGACGGTCATCCTCACTCTTGAAGAATGGTGAGATGGTTTTCTATGCCACGTTAAACATGGTGGGGGTCAGGTCTATGAACAATGCAATAAATAAACAAGTATATAGGGATTAGAATGTCGTTGTACTGTTGTTGCTTTCACTGGCAGATATTGATGGGGTTTCGGTCTTAATGACATGGGAGCCCCTGCCATTGATATCTAGACCTTGGAAGTGACCAATAGGAGGATCCTTCTGCCATTGGAGGGGATGATGATATTGTGGAACCTGCATACTCTGAGAATCGTTTGTCGGGCCTGATTGTGAAAACAAGATTTGTTGACTATCATAAGGAATTCGTTGCATTCCCATATTGTAGACCTCAGAAGGGTTTTTTGTTTCCCCAGTTGCTACTCTCAGTCTTTCAACTTCATTCTTCAATGCTTTGTTTATTGCTGTATTTGGGAAAATGTATGTAGAGAGCAAATTAGCAATGATCAATAACCAGTTCAAATCAAAATGCGTTTGAAGTATTTCCCATACCAGAAAATTTTGAATTATACAGTCTTATATAAGATCTCGGGCTACTATCTTTTAGGATAGAACCATGAATCTTAACAATATGTGTTTGAACTCGGCTGCATTCAAGTTCAAATTATTGGTATTTTCAGGTTACATTCAGGGGTAAGACTGCGTACATCCGACCCCCCCTACCCCACCGTAGGTGGGAGCCTTAGCGGCACTGGGGTAATGATGATGATGATGATATATTCAGTGTTCTACAAGATCAACCAAAACAGAGATCGTTTATTCGATAAAATGAATCTAGTTATATGTGTGTGTTCATTTTGAGGAGAGGCCTATTGGATCAAACTGTATGTTTATTAAATTTGGTCTAAGTGGTCCAAAAAGATCTAGGATTAGCTCATACTTATAAGCCACATATGTGATAAACATTCACATCTCCTCAGTCTAAATCAGTTAGATAACTTAAAGGTACCTAATTAAAATGGGCTACCATGAATGATGGGAGTGTCTAAGTAAACAAAAAAACTACAACCAAACAAGTCTCAGATAACTAAATGTTAGCCACTGATCTAGTAAACATCCGGATGAGGAATACTCCCTCCGTCCCCAATTAAATGTCCCATTTTACCATATTGGGATGTCCCTATTTAAATGTCCCATACCTCATTTGGTAAAGTTTGTGTGGCTCAAAATCATTCTTACTTTATTCTTACTTTATTCCTACTTTATCAATTAATATCAACCACACAAACCCACTTTTCTTAAAACTCGTGCCACCCTCTTCCGGGACTTTTAAAAGGGGACGGAGGGAGTACTTAACAATACTTAAACATTATACGATAGAAAAGTAGACTTCTAGTTCTATCCTAAAACACCAGAAATGATAAAAGAATTAGCCCAACACCATAGTATATGATAGTTTCTTTTTGTATTTGCTCAATATAGGTTGACTTAACACTAACTAATGGGTGACTTAACTACTGATTGCTTCCTATTCGGGTAAATGAGGGGTCACAGAAACAACCCACACCCACATCATGCCAAAATGACACCACAAAGCACACACTTGGCAAGCAATCAGTGGCTGAAGCTTTTTTTGAGGATTAAGGGACAAAAGCAAGAAAGTGAAATGAAAAACATTAGGTGCTGTAAATGGGCACCTTCACGTAGGTGAGCCTGTTGTTCCATCGCTTGCAAACGGAGCTTAAGCTCAGCGTTCTCGTTACTCAGGCATGTGGTATCCCTCTGCGCATAAAAGGAAGCGTTAATAGTTTATACATATTTATTTTGGGACGGACAAAGTTAACTTTTCTATGGAGTTCCCCCTCAAAGTTATGGAGAGTTTTGCATCTGTTTTGTTGTCGGAATTCTTGAAACCCCAGACTTAGCACAATTTGGCACAAATAGAGCATTTGAAAATATGACAAACTTCATGAACTATTTAAGGTCAATTCTGTTAATTCAAAATGAGATCTAGGTGGACATTTGTTCATGTATAAGTTTAGGATTATACATTTCTGACCCTTTTAATATCATTTGAACCAATCACATATTTATGTGTTCAAAAACAAGGGCAATAAGTGCACCTTAGTGCCAGGCATACTAAGTCAGAGCATTTCTTCATGATCTTGAGGAAGATACCCACACACACTTGAACAAACCTGGAATAGAGTGAGTGTAGCAGAAAGAGTGGTTGCTTCAGTTTGAAGGGTGTGAACTTTCCTCTCCAGTTCAGATATATAACGCGCCTTCCGCTCCTTTGATCTAGCAGCCGATTGCCGATTAGCCAGAATTCTGTTCAATAAATTATTCTCATTACAATCAGAGAATTGCACAACTCAAGGTTGACCTGTACTTTGGTCTTAAATTTTGTATAATGCCAACTAGATAACAGATATATCACCTCATCAAACCTACTAGAGAAGTCAAGTGAACAGATCAAACCAATAAATACTTGCATAGGAATTTGACCTCTAAGACAGCTATTTGAATGTATTAATGCATCTTGTTAAGGAAACCACACCTATTAATGCCCACTAATTTTTATAGGGGAGAACCCTATTATAAAATGAATAGTTATGATAAGACCACATATATTATAGGACTCCATAGTGAAGTCAGTTCCTTAAAATTTTCTATATATGTTCACTAATAAATAGTTTAATGGTTTATGTGCTCCAATTTTACAATTTATATGTTTAATTGTTCTCACAAAAAAGTTGAAGGATATATTTGTTCTCTAACATATAGTTCAAAAGTGTATTTAGTCATTCTCCATATGTTTTACTTTTAAACTTTGAATCATTTAGTCTTTACTAAAAGAAAAAATCAGTTAAAATTTCTTATTTTATCCTTTTAGGAGTGAACGGTTCTTGATTAAAGAATAATAATGATGATTCCGGCTAGGTCTATTCAAAGACTTTTCTCTTTAATTATTAAATGTACTTGTATATGCAAAAAAAAATGTACTTGTAAAAATAGGTGATCATTTAGCAAATACAACAATGAAATAATACATACGGAGTATATGTGTATTTTTGGGCACAACATTTAATTAAATCCTGATCTTCTAGTTTTGTACGTAGTACTATTCAATTAGTTTTTAAAAACTCTTAATTGTATGTTTGACACAACAATATAAAGAGTTTAAAAATAGATCTTCTTTGAAAAGCCACACTGAGTAGTTTCTGAGAGAAAGTTTGTAGCTTTAAATATTAATTAGTCATAACAGCTTATTATATCAAATAAAATTGAAACAAATAATCAGATTTTATCAAACAACTACAACATTTTACTTTTAGAATCTTTCCTGTCATTGAAAGCTACAAAATTATTAAAAAGTTCGAAAAAAAATCTATACAGCTAGTTATGCAAAACATACATGAGTACATCATAAAACCAACTTATTATCCACACATTTTTATTTTAAGTCTTAATAAATGATTACCTTAAAACCCGCACTTTTTCCCTTATGCACAAATTACTTGAAAACGGTGAATGTGTTACCATTGGCATTTGAATTTTCATTCTAAGAAGGATCCAATTAGGAAAAATAAGTAATTTTGATTTTGGATTGTATTGTTAATTTGTTATATTGGTTCAATAATGAATGATTTAACATAACTGCAATTAAGTAAGCATAAGTAAATGATATCACTAAAACAAAATATAAAAGTGATCCATGTCACTACCAAAACTATATTAACAGCAAGAGATCAAAAGAGCATAATAAGATCCACAATACCTTTTGGCTCTTTTGGGATCAATTGTCCATAGCTCAGCCAGCTTCTCGGGAGCCATGGCTTTCTTAGCTTCAATCATCCCTCCTTCCCCAAGCAGCAAGCTTGAGCTATCCACCGAGTTGCTATGGCGGTGCCTCGGCCGGTTCGGGTTCTTCAACCCTCCATTCCCACTTTCCTCCACCGCTCCGCCGCCAGCATTCTCGATCCCCGCCGCCGGAGAATCCCCGCCGGCGCCTGATCCGGCGCCGAGCTTCTCGATGTCCATGTAGGTGGAGAAGAGATCGTCCTCGGATCCAGTATCATCGAAGCTGGCGGCATCAAAGGGGTCAGAACCCAGATCCTCCGGGAGACGGAAGTTGACTTCGGAGTGAGCTCGCCGGTGGTGGGACTGCCGGAATGCGGGCGCCGGTTGAGCGAACGGCGGCTTTGGGTATGACGGATCTTGCATCTTGAGAGCAGGGGAAGTAAAAACGGAGCTTGGATTATGGTGGGAGATTCAGAGAAGAAAAAATGGAGGTTTTTGAGGAGGTCGGGAAATAAATGGGAAAGCAATGACGGCAGTTGGGAGTGGTGAATGGAACGGGTACGTCATTCATTACAGTTATCGGTTTAGCAGTGGGGTTTGACTTTTGAGGGGAAAAGATTTCGACCTCGTGGGTATGCCGTGCAAAACGGTTCAATTCTATTGTGATTGTTTTGATTAGATTGAAATTTTCTTTGTTTAGTCCAATGACTCTAATGTTGTTGATTAGGTTTTATTTTAATTGGGTTGATCTGGTCTCATTTGATATAATTCAAAAAATGTATGGAGTATGTTTTATGTACAAGTATATTTTAACAATATAAATATAGTTTAGTCTGATCTGGTCAATATTAAAGCCGGTTCAATTAAAACATTCTGAGTTGAGTCTAAAATATTCGGTGCAATTTTGGGAGTGTTTGATTTTTCATCTTTTAGCATAAAAATTTGATACGAGTGTTTTCAAGTGATAGATATAGGATTTGAAAGATCAATATATATCAATCTAAAATATAAAATTCATAGATTTTTATTTTTCAAAGAAAAAATAATATTGCTTAATCTTTTTAAACGAATAATTTTTGTGAAGAAAAATTCATCAAAAACAAAAAATGAAATTAATAAAAAATTAGATAAATAAAAATGTGTGATATTTATTTAGATCTTACATTTATAGCTTTCAATCATTCAGATTTAGATTATATGTAGACATATTTTATGTTTCGAGCATATTTTATTTATGGTGAACATATCTTTTAAGTCTTAATTAAATTGATAAATTCAAACTAAATTCCATTTAAAGACACTAAATCACATTTGAAACACGACAATTTAAACTAGAATAGAGGTATCATAAAATTAGATTATCAACATCTATCTATAATCTATAATCTATAATATATAATCTATAATCTATAATCTATAATCTATATCTATAACTACATCTATAATCTATAATCTATAATCTATATCTATAATAATAATATAAAGTAACAAGGTTTGTCACTAATGTATTCCCGCCTAATCGCACATTAAATAATCACACCCATTAAACACGAAATAATACATTAATTTTTACAACTAATAGTAATAATAATAGTTGAAATGTTTTCAATTAACAAAAATAATGGTAATATATTGTCGGGTTAATGGGTCCGATAGTGGATCGGCTCATCACCCCTTGGCAAGGAAACCATCAAGGTCCAATTTGGGCACTGTCCGTCGAGGTGTCGGTCAGACGCTCGTCTGGTCCAACAAGGGCCAGTTAACATTCCACGGTCTCCAACCGGACAACTCGCATAAGCCGAGAGTGGAGTCCAACCCTTGCATCATTGGAACCCAGGATCCAAGATCGGGGACGCTCGCCTAGAGCCTTTGGCGAGAAACCAAAATATTGGCGGAAAGCGCATTTAATGCAGTAGATTTGGTGGTTGGAAAGGTAGACACCTACAATCCTCTACATCATCTACATCACCTACCCCTTAGTCGTATAAATAGCAGCATTTATTTTATTGTAAAAGGTTGGCAACATATTAACTTCGTCCCCAACCTCTAGCGTCTTCGACCGAGAATGGTAAGTTCAATACTTTACCAAGCTTGTTTAATTTCTTGTGTCCTGAATAATTTTCGTCTTGGACCCTTTGATTAATAACGAAATTGCTAAAACATTTTCTATATTTTACTCCTATTAAGGAGATTTTCTCTGGATTAATTGTTACTTTCATTGTAGTTTGTCTTCAATTCTCACATTTCTTTAATTGCTACTAGGGTGCTTAAGCTTATGTAATCTTCATAAACTCTGCTCCTAGCAAGATTCTCACTGGTTTCTGTCATTCATTTCTTTCGTTTTTTGCTCATCAATACTTATTGATTATTTTCTGTAAGATTTTTTTTGTAATAGTGAAGGCAATTTCAATTAGGTGCCACCCCAAGAAAAGGAATGGATTGGAAGAGTAGACTGACAGGAAGTTACAAGCTTGGCTTCGTACTGCTGGCTCACAAGTGATTTTGAATCCAATAAGCTGCCAAAACTTCATTTTTAAGTCAACCGATGCTTGATACTGTTTGTGCAGTTGCCATACTTTACCTTTGCCTCTTTATAAGAACAAGATTTCTTATTTTTTGAATTCTAAACCATTATTATGTTAGGCATCTGCACATACTTCAACTATTGGCCTTTTCCAATTATAATAAGTACATATATGAATAAAGATTGTAATAATTGGAAGTATACATGCCTGGGTTTTCTGTATAAGTATATAAAGAAAGATTGTAATAGTTGGAAGTATGCATGACTGGACATATACTTCAATATGTTCGCAATAGAGTTGCTGGTATGTAATTGGAGCATGTTTGGTATATATAAGTGCTTTTTATGACAAGTGTTTTATCATTTCAGCATTTAATGTTTTCCTTTTAGCAGAAACAATATTATCCCTGCGTAAATATCTAAAAGTTTTTTCGGTAGTTATTCACAATCTTTAACAATCTTATCCTTGCATATAAGGTTTTTTCCTGGTAGTAATAGATCGAAGCTAAGACTAGTTGCCCTTTTTTTATAATCATTTATTCAAACCCATTTATTAGATTAATCTATTCCCTAACTTGAGTTGTGTGTTGTTTCGGTCATAGGCTAGATTTTGATGATATCTATATAGTTCTGATAATGTCACCCTTTTTATTATCCCTTTATTAGACTAGATCTTTGTTTTTATTCTACTATGTTAATTGTAATGTGCTACTTTTTATTGAAAAAGAAAATACTCAAAGAAAAACAAAAAAGTACTCAAAAGAGAACAAACGTACCAAAAACAAAGAAAATAATAAAAAACAAAAAAGTACGAAAAGAGTCAACTGAAACCCTTTGTAAATTCGGAAGCCAACTGGAAAAACAAAAATCAGCAGCCTATTGAGAACATTCTTCAGCCGGCTAAAATGTTGGTTTTCCCATCGAGACAACCGAAATCTACTATCTTCTCTAAAGCACAAAAACAACTAAACAAAAGACCAACTTGCAATCAAAATGGCAAAAATATAGAAAACAATTTTATAAGAAATTTCTACGGCTCTACCACATTATGAAAAATTCTTATAAATTTATTTTACTAAAAGCAAGTGATTTTATTGTAAGGAAGCATTGAACTAGACTCAGCTTATATACTGAATTTCTACGAGTTAAAGAAATAAAGATATATGAAGTATCAATCTTTATCTTTGCCTTGAGATGAGGAAAACAGTTGAGTAAAAAATGGCCCGCATCACAAGAAGACAAAGACCAACCATGCTGCCTACGGTCAAGTGGAACAAAGCAACTAGATAAGTGGAACAAAGCAACTAGATCAAAGCAACGGTCAAGATTGAACTCTTTCGGCAACGGTAGAGCTTCAACAACAAGTCTATAAATACAGAAGGAGTGCGGGAAGAACAAGAGTGAGCCAAGTGGAAAAGAAGGGATTCAATTATTACTCGAACACATCCAACAAACAATGTTGATTCCCCTTCACCATTTTGGTTTCTACCCTACTCATCTACATCTCTTAGACTAGCTCAAATTCATACACATCTATAGAGCTTAGATTAGTTGGTAGTTTAGTTTTCACCCATGTAAACTACACTAGTATTAGACATTCTGCAGGGCTTTGTGTTCAAATCCAGAAGGTGAGAGAAGGGCAATGTGTAAGGAATAAATGTAATTAGATTTTGATGATGCTAGGATAATTAGATTAGAATTTTAAAGTACCCCAATTAGATTTTGTGTATTAGAATTTTCAATTGTAAGTATTAGTGTAGTCGACGATCAGAGTTGCTCTTTTATGGATCTGATCAGAGCTGCTATGAGAACTGCTTTCAGAGTCGCTCTTGGAAATCATGAGAGTTGCTCATCAGAGAACCATCAGTGTTGCTCTTCAGAAACTCGTCAGAAGTCTACAGCAGAAAGACATCAGAGTTCGATGAATAGCTTCATCAGAACTCAACATCAGACAAGCATCAGAGTTCGCACACCAGAGCTCGACCTGAAGCTACATCAAAACTACTCTTCAGAAAGCCATCAGAATCCAACGTATCAGAAGACTCCGATCAGAGTCCGACTAACACTTAGAAGAATTTCAGGCTACCTTCAACGGCTGGGAAATTCATCAACGGCTAGAAGATATTCCATCCAAGAAAAGCATTTAATGCCCATTAAATGAGCCTGATACGCTTTGAATTTATTGCAAATGATTGACCGAGAAATCTGGAAGATATATTATAAAAATAGAAAGCTTCCAAATTAGTGGGTCAAGTCAACTGTATGCGCATTCAATGCAGTTGTCTCCTCCTTCAACGGGCAGACAACCCCAGTATATAAGCTACAAACCGAAGAACAGGACAAGAACTCTCTTTGCAGAACTTTTGCAAGAACTTTTGCTCATCGTATTTCAAGCTCTCTTGAGATTCAAATTCCACATTCATCAACAAGACTAGCTTACGTTGGGAAGACTCAGATTCTCACTCTTCAAACCCAACACACAGCAAAGATCATCCTGTTCTTCAACACTTCAAGAACTTCAACTACATATCTTTTGTAACGAAGCTAGTTGGAGAAAACTCTGTTTTCAAAACATCTTCTGCAAAGAAGGGCGTCCAAGTAACTGCAGCAGTGAAGTGGTGATACTTCCGGGAAGCTGAGTGAAAGGATCAGTCATCAGGAAGCAGGACTGCATCCCGGGTGACAACTAGGCTTGAAGAAG